GTGTCTGTGTCTGTGTGTGTGCGTGTGTCTGTGTGTGTGTGTGTGTGTCTGTGTGTGTGTGTGTCTCTGTGTGTGTGTGTGTCTCTGTGTGTGTGTGTGTGTCTGCGTGTGTGTGTGTGTGTCTCTGTGTCTGTGTCTGTGTCTGTGTCTGTGTCTGTGTCTGTATCTGTGTGTGTGTCTGTGTGTGTGTGTGTGTGTCTGCGTGTGTGTGCGCGCTTGTTTCGTGGCTAAAAGTAGTTACGAACACGAAAAGTCGCTGCTGATTCTGCAGGCCGTGGATAAGTTGTGAAGGACAACCACAAACCTCAAGAGTTGCAGCAGAAAAAACCTCTGAGAGCGATACTGGCGACATCTGCATATCTGCAAAGATACTTAGTTGGTCCGTGTATATGTACCCTTGCGCCTGCATCTGCTATGTAATGCTGTGCTGTGCTATGCGATGCGATGCTGCGCTATGATATGCTCTGCTATGCTACGCTATGCTAATGTCTGCATATGTATACGTATCTGAATGTATTCATACGTATATGAATATGGGTATGTAACTGAGCATGCATATGTAAAGGTGTGTCTGTATGAACATGAAATGAAAATGAATATGTAGATGCATACCTACATGCACATAGATATGCAAGTGCATTTGTATTGGTGCCTGTACGTGTATGGGTAGTTGTATATGTATGTTTGTGTATGCGTATCACATGGCCATATGTGCATTTGCATGTCTCAAAGACTTTTAAGACTTCATGCGTTTACATGTGCATACATGTAGCCTATGCATGTAGTGTTGCCTGCGGATTAACTAATTCCCAAGAACACAAGCCAACCTGCTTACAACCCCCAAACCCCTTAAGCCCCAAACCCCAAGTCCCTCGTCTGTCTTCGAAGAATACCCGATACACCATCGGCCCGATGAAGCGCTAAGCTTCGAAGCCCTAACTTGGATATGAATCCTGAACCCGTACTGAACCTTGAACTCGTCAAGAATCGCGAGCAAAGACAACCTACAACCATAGGGATCGTGTCACGTGTCTGCCAGGGCTTGGCAAAGGCTGTCCGCGAAGCTTGATCACCTCAGTGACGCCCTTAATGTGCAAATGGAGCGTCTAAAACCCGAACCCCTGCATACTGCTTGCAGAGGTGGGATGTAGGTGTTTGTCGGGGTTGACAAGGGTTGAGGGTTTCAGGTCTGATTACTTTAGTGATGGCATTATCCATTCAGGGTCTGTCTTGTCATTGTTAGAAAAGGGTTTGCAGGTATCTTATACTATAGTTATAATAAGAAACCCCCAGAGCCCTATCTAATTATTCCGGCCCCTACATTAACTGTACTAGATTGCACCCCAAATCCTTGTTCAAAATACTCAGGCCCTTACATTCTGGCTGCCTCAGAGATCGTATCCGGTACACTGGCACAGGCGGCAGTTAGAGGCATTCACACATGCACGATCCTTCTAAAGAACCATTCAAGGAACCCTTACGAGGAACCCCCGTAAGTATATGTACACCAAACGGCTTGTAGGTGTGTAGATGCATCTAGTTATGATTCATCAACTAACTAACTAACTAACTAACTAACTAGCTAACTAACTAGCTAACTAACTAACTAACTAACTAACCAACTAACTAACTAACTAACTAACTAACTAACTAACTAACTAACTAGCCAACTAACTAGCTATTAATACAGAAGCTATATATACATATAGGGAGATTGGTACACCTATATACACATAGATGTACATATACACACATATATATATAACAAATATATATACACATGACAAACACATGCACATTTTTATACCTAAGTATGTACGTGTCCGTATACTCTAATGTGTATATATATATATAAATATGCACACATTATGTATATATGTGTTTGCACACACATACATTACACCTACCTACCTACCTACCTACCTACCTACATACATACCTACATACCTACATACCTACATGCCTACATGCCTGCATACCTGCATACCTGCATACATACATGCATACAGACAGACAGACAGACAGACAGACAGACAGACAGACAGACAGACAGACAGACATACAGACATACAGACGTACAGACATACAGGCGTACCGGCAAACAGACAGACAGAGAGACAGACAGACAGACAGACATGCATACATACATACCTAC